AGTATTTTAGCAAGAAAGTGCCGGTCGTGCACTCCATTGACGATGCACTCAAGAAGGAGTTCCTCGCCTTCGTCCATGCGCTCAAGCAGTGGTGGCACTTCCTCCTTGGTCGAAGCCAATTCCGATGGGTAACGGATAACAATTCGTTGATCTTTTACAAGACCCAAGACACCGTCAACAACACCATCGCTCGATGGATGGCTTTCAACGACCAGTTCGACTTCTTTCCCGATCACATTCCGAGGAAGTCGAACCGTTTTGCAGATGCTCTTTCACGGTGTCCGGATCATTGTACCGTGGTCTATTCAACCTTCAAGATCGACGACGACCTGCGGGACGGCTTCATCCGCGACTACCAAGCCGACCCCGAGTTTCGGGACAAGTACGCGAATTGCTCCTCTTCTAATCTGGCGCCTTCTCACCACCGGATCCAAGAGGGGTACTTGCTTGTCCACACACGGGGGAAGGACCTTCTTTGTGTACCGAGTGACTCTCACTTGCATACACGACTTCTTGGCGAGTTCCACGATGCTCCCGCCACTGGACACTTTGGAGTCAATCGCGCGATTGGCCGACTTCGCGAGCGATTTTGGTGGCCCGGCCTTCTTGGCGACGTCACACGCTATTGCGAGTCATGCGAGGTTTGCCGATGCTGCAAATCCCGCAACCATCGTCTGTATGGCGAGTTGCGACCGTTACCGGTCCCCTCGAAGGGAAGCGATTGCCATGGACATTACCGGCCCGTTCCCCAAGCACAAGACCGGAGTGGATGGAATTCTCACAATGGTCGACCGGCTCACCAAGTTTGCCATGTTTTTGCCTTGCTGCTATAATGCCAAGGCACCGGAGTTGGTCGAGGTTCTTTACACCGGTTGGATTCGAACCAAGGGTTACCCCAAGGAAATCGTCTGCCACCGCGACACTCGGTTCATGTCTGGTTTTTGGCTGGCGCTCATCAAACGATGGGGCTCATCTCTCAAACCAAGTTCGGCTCGCCACCCTGAAACCGATGGCCAAACGGAGAGGGCGCATCAGACCGCACAGGTTCTCCTTCACACTCTCATCTGTCCCGACCAAAAGGATTGGGTTGAGGGGCTGCCGGATGTCGAGTTGGCAGACAACTCGTCCATCCACCTGGCTATCGAGATGTCGCCCTTCGAGTCTGAGCACGGCTCGCCGGTCACTTCGTCATTGGACACAATCATTCCACGAACGGCCGAGAGCGACGACCATCTTCTTTTCTTGTGTCGGATGCAAGAGCTACTTGTCAAGGCACGTGACCAGATGGCCAAGACGCAGCAACGAATGAGCCAACAGGCCAATCACCAACGTCTTCCTTGCCCCTTCCGCGCGGGCAATCTCGTTTGGGTTTCCGCCGCGGAATTCAGCCTTGAACAAGATATCTCTCGCAAGCTCCTCTTGAGGTGGATGGGGCCCTGGCCGATCATGGCACCCGCTGGGGATGCACCCGAGGGACCGACCCTCACTACTCAGGTGCCTGCCCACTTGCCCGTCTACCCGGTCTTTCATTGCTCCAAGCTGGCCCTTTACACACCAGCGGAATATGGCGATTTTCTTGGGCAACGATCGCAAGACCCACTCTCTATGGACGGTTTTCAGGAGGTCGGCGACATCATCTCCCAGCGACGCCACGGCAACAGGCCAACCGAGTACTTGGTACATTTTGCGTACTGCACTCACAAAGCTGACCGTTGGTTGACCCGTGCGGAACTCCAAGCAACAGCTCCGGATGTTCTCGCATGCTACGAACGCAAAATGCAAGGCAAGCCGGTATCTTCGACTCCATGTCGCACCCGCGTCCAGGTTCCACCTTCAGATCGTCAGCTTCGCCCTTGACCCGGCTTGACTTCATAAGGAGGGGGGGGTGTTACATGCTGCGCCTGCAACAGGCTGCACGGGCCATTTCCAGGCCCGTGACGTTTTCAGGCCAAAAGCCTGAAAACAAGGGCTTACAGGCCCCGTGTCGTTTCAGCCTGAAAGCCTGAAAAACAGGGCCTACAGGCCCTGTGTCGTTTCAGGCTAAATCAGGGCCTTTCCGGCCCTGAGTGTTTTCAGCCTGAAACTGAGGGCCATTTTTGGGTCCTCATCGGTTCGACCTGCCCTGAAACTCGGGCAACAAACCAGGGTCTTAGCACAGGCCATTTCGGGCCTGTTTTCAAGACAACCCCTGGTTGAGCTTCAACGCCAGGGTCTGGCATGTTTCGGCATTGGCAAGAGCAGCCTCCTGGACGGGCCAGCACTATATAGGACTGGCCCGCCCTGCAGGCAGGTAGGTAGTTCCTAGGTACTTCCCAGGCACTTCACGTGCAGTTAAGGAGGCAGGAGGTAGTCTTCAGGATTCGGCAGCAGCACTCTGGAGGAGCGCTGCAGTAGTAGTAGTAGCGTTAGCAGTAGTCTTCAGCGCTGGGCGCGAGTAGCGTTAGCTGTAGTCTTCAGCGCTGGGTGCCATAGCAGCTAGAGTAGTACTAGCGAGAGAGAGATTGGGCGGAGGCCAGAGGGACTTACATGCAGCGCCATCGCTCCAGCTTCGTCTTCGAGGTACCTGCAGCACAGCGCCACCTTCACAGGTTAGTACCTGGCATACGAGAGAGAGAGAGTTATTCTTCTTCCTCTTCTCAGTCTACCATCTCCCTCTCACCCTCTTGTTATCTGACCTCGCTGCATCAGCAGACTATGAGAGAGAGAGAGAGAGAGAGAGAGAGAGAGAGAGAGAGAGATCTGGGTGACATTTGGATCCAGACTCGACATTGGACTTCAGACATTTTGACGAGGGATTATTTGGGACTTGTACGAGACTTGGTGTTGATGACTTCCCCATCTCTCCCCTCCTCTTCTCCGTCTGATCCCCTCCTCATCGTCTGTGCATGATCTGGACCTGGCGCCTTCTTCCTGTGTATAGCGCCAGGCCCCTTCACACGTGTGATGAGAATGATGTATGTGGGGTCTGCGTTGAAACGTTGATTGGGCGAGTCATTAGTGTTCTAGCATTCTGCTTCGCTATCTTGTACTACGTAAAAGAGGTCAGTCCCGGTCAGGTCAGGACTTGTATCTAAATCTTCCACTACGCTATAAAACACCATTTTGTATGTATCAGGATGTACACTGCTTGTTGAGATTCTACTTGCACTGCATTGTCCATTCAGTCCTTTTCATCACATTGCGGATCCTTGG